GCGAAGTACAATGATATAACACAATAATGCTTGCAGGAATGTGTCGTCGCGGAAGGGGGGGGGGCGTGGTGAGGGTGATGAGAGAGAGAGAGAGAGAGAGAGAGAGAGAGAGAGAGAGAGAGAGAGAGAGAGAGAGAGAGACAATATACAACACTATTAAGTAAACAAAACAACAACACCCCCGCCCTGTTATAACACTACCACAACTACCACCATTACCACAACTACCACCACTACCACCACCAGTTCACACACACATTCCTCCTCACCATCCAACCAGAAACACACGAATAGACAAACAGCCGAGGCATCCAAGTGAATTACCACACACACACACACACACACACACACATTAACGGTATCTCTCTTCCACATTCTGTCTTTTCATTAATAGTGTTTAACTCTCTAAATGTTTACGTAATCACCTGCACCCCGACACACACCTGCACCCCGACACACACCTGTATGGGCGAGAAGGTCAGGTGGCCACCCAACTTATACGGTGTAAACATTGGAGACGATAAATGAGAGAGACGAGGTGATAAATAAGGAGGAGAGAGTGAGAGATAACAGACGATAATAAGGATGACCAGAAACGTGACATGGGTGAGAGACTGAAATTATTGCACACACACACACACACACACACTGTTGACGAACCCTTAGTGCCTCGTCCTAGTGCCAGCGGACCGTAACCTTTGCACGCTAATAACATGGAGGCCTCTGTCTAAACAGCCATGTTGTGTTTGCTTGAAGGCTTTATTTGCAGCGTATTTTAGGGTGGTGGAGGTACTAGAGGAGAGGGGAGTAGGGGGTGGTGGTGGAGGGGAGTGTAGGTGATGAGAGGGGTGGGGTAGTAGTGGTGGGAGAGGGGTGGGGGGGTAGTAGTGGTGGTGAGAGGGGTGAGTAGTGAGAGGGGTGGGGGGTAGTAGGTGGTGAGAGGGGTGGTGGTGGGAGAGGGGTGGTGGGGGGTAGTGTTGGTGAGAGGGGGGTAGGTGGTGGGAGTTAGTAGTGGTGGTTGGTAGTAGTGGGTGGTGGTGGTGAGAGGGGGTGGGGGGTAGTAGTGGTGTAGTGGTGGGTGAGAGGGGGTGGGGGGTGGTGGTGGGAGGGGGTGGGGGTAGAGTGGTGGTGTGGGGGGTAGAGTGGTGGTGAGAGGGGGTGGGGGGTAGGTGGGAGATGGGGTGGGGGGGTAGCCGGGTGGTGAGAGGGGGTGGGGGTAGGTGGTGTGGTGGGGAGAGGTGGGGGTAGTAGTGGTGTGAGAGGGGCCGGGTAGTAGTGGTGGTGAGAGGGGGTGGGGGAGTAGTAGTGGTGGTGGTGGCAGGGAGTGGTACAAGATTAATACAAGACTTGACCTCAACACACACACACACACCGTTACGGGTTAAACCGGTACAACATAACAAATCGTGGAGGCGGAAACAATCGTATTTACATAAAGAGAATTAAACAAATATTTGGGTTAGTTATACAAGCCGTTAGTAACTCCCCACACAACATCCGGGGAGGAACCCTAAAAGTTCTTAAAAAAACATCTCAGTGTAAACAAGATCTCAGTGTAAACAACATCTCAGCGCAAACATCCGAGTAAACAGAGGTAAACATCAGCTCTGTGTAAACATTGAGGTATTGAATTATCGTAGACTATTGACGATATATCTAACGAATTTACGGCATACAGCAAATTTACAGATTTTATTAAATAACTTAGTTTTTGAATGTTAATCTAACTTATATTTCGTATATATTCATTCATCTACGCTTTTGTATTAATTATTTTACTTTACAACCTACGTAAATTTTCAGCATTTTTGTGGTTACGTTTTTTCCATTATTTCATATCACTTTATTATGCATTAGTTTTAATTAATATCTCTTCACTGGCACTTTTTAATAGGCCAGGTGTGAAGAGCCGACAGGTGACCATAGCTTTATATACATTCCCCGCCACAGGAAATACCTCAACGATTACTGTACCTGTCTGTAGCGGTCCACCCTCAGGCCCCAGTTGACTCACACTCATTCACACCATATATGGGCACTACCACACCACACCACACCACACCCCTATAGCACCATATTATTTCCCTACCAAACAGAGAACACTATACTACACTCCCATGTCACCCACTAGCATACAGAATACCATACGACACTCTTACCACACAGAGAACACTATACCACACTGCCATAACACCATACCACCTCCTACCATACAGAGTACACCATACCACACTCCCATAGCACCATACCATCAACTATTAATATTGCATCCATTTCAATCCCTCCTAGACAAATTTAACCTTGATGATCTTTTTAACGGATTCACTCTATTCCACTATCGCCAAATGCCCACAAGAACGCCAAATAAAACAACAATGGGGATAATTTCCCCCCTCCTAATTTTATGGCGCGAAAAATATCGAGTACACGGGACATTTCACCTAATAACCAGTAAATAACTTTCCCCCGAGCGTAAAATTTTAATTGAATCTTTCACCTATAAGATTAGTCTGGTAACCCGGACGTGGCAACAGTGAAAATCAAAATAAATACAGCACGCACACCCTTTCAATACGATTACACTCTACCATTCGTAAAGTTTATTGGAAACGAAACTAAAAATCTGGTAAATAAATTAATTTCACATGTTCAGTTTATAGAACGACAATATTGGAAGAACAAATACTTATAATGTATACAGCCTTAACAACATCAACCTAGAGAAGTCGACTTGTGAAAGAGACCTAGGGGTACTTGTAAGCCCGGACCTACGGCCTAGAAAACAGTGTGTTAATGTTCGAAATAAGGCAAACAAAGTATTGGGTTTTATATCTAGAAGTGTAAGTAACAAGAGTGCAGAGGTCTTATTGCAACTATATCTTGCGCTAGTCAGGCCGCACCTCGATTATGCGGTTCAGTTCTGGTGCCCTTATAGAATGGATATAAATTCACTAGAGTCGGTGCAGCGAAGAATGACAAAAATGATTCCGGGACTTAGAAACCTTCCATATCAGGATAGATTAAGGAAACTTGACTTGCATTCCCTAGAAAGACGAAGAGTGCGGGGAGATATAGATAAAGTTCTTATAATATCCGAGCAGGATAGGACTCGGAGCAACGGATTCAAGTTGGATAAGTTTAGGTTTAGGAGGGAGATAGGAAGAAACTGGTTCACAAATAGGGTGGTGGACGAGTGGAACAAGCTTAGCAACTTTGTAGTAAGTGCGGGAACTCTGGAAAGTTTCAAAAGGAGGCTAGATAGATTCATGGATGATAGAGAGTGATAGTAACTCTCGACAGGAGCTACCATGCACAAGCCAACCGGCCTATTGCAGACTCCTTATTTTCTTGTTCTTATGTTCTAATATAATTCTATTCTCTTGATGAAACACAAAAACAGACAAGAGAGTGACACAAGCCTGGTGCAATGGCTACATCACGAAAGGGTAATCCCAGATGTGTTAATCATGACTTAAGAGAAAAAAATAATTCATCACAAAATTCCTCCATGGATGGGGGGCACCTAATCACTTTCTAATGACCTCGTGTGTGAATAGTGTCGCTTTAAACTGACTTGGTGCGATGGTGTGTTGTGTATATATATATATATATATATGTATATATATATATATATATATATATATATATATATATATATATATATATATATATATATATATATATATATATATATATATATATATATATATATATATATATATATATATATATATATATATATATATATATATATATATATATATATATAATATAACGACATTGTAGCTACACGACAAATTCAAGCTGCTGGACATCACAAGGAAGAGAATACACACACTCAGTAGACGCTCACAGCAATCTTCCTTGCAACATTACGCTTGGTAGCTTCAGGCGCCTTACCGTTTTGCAACATATTATTACCACTTTACGCAACACTTCCGAAATGCTCTTAGAATAGCCCTAGTGTTAAGAAGGCTTTTCCCGACTAAATTATTTTTTTTCCGTTAATTAGAATACACAGTTATTATATAATTCTGTATATGTCCTTGGTTATGTAATCTACGTGTTCATTTTGTAATACTTACTCTTCCGGGAATGATCACTTGCACGCTCTAAATACTGCAAACAGATGTCTGACTGACGTGTATTTAATCTGAGAAACCTTGACCATCAAAAGCCTACCTTGATGTATCTTGTCTAAATTTAAAGTACAGTAATATGAAAAATTCACAATAACATCATCGACAGTCGGCAATCAGTGCTGTTTTAACACAATCCTTCCAATTTCTTCGTAGCACTATTTTAAAATTCACGGCAGTCCTCTAACAACACGCCTTACTAATGCACAATCAAGTAATACCACTCCTACACATTCCCTTACGTCAGAAAAGGTTACAGACACTCGCTGGTAATACATAAATTTCACTGTGTCATGATAGTGATTGCCTGTTTCCCCTGACGGCAAGCCTGACTCAATTTACATGCTGGATTACGACCTGTAGAACGTGCTGGACTGACCTACATCTTCCTTCCTGCCAATCATGTCTCATCTTTCCCGACATTATATTCCTTCTTACCCACACAAATTAAAAACGTGCTTCTTTAAGTCATATATTTACAACTACCCAATATCTCGACCTCGAAGCAGTTTATAGATTATTGGACGGCATGATTTTAAGATGTTTAGATATTTACTTTGTCAGGTGCACTTATTAAACAGCATACAGCTGAAGTCCGTCTGTCTAATTCACTTTACCCAAACCTCTCGAATCACAGCAAACTAAAACAAGCCAAACTACACAACTTTAGCTAAGGTAAAATAACTCTTAGGGTAGGAAGGAGTACAGAGTGACTTGCTATAACTGTGGTCATAATAACAGGGATTCAAGTCTGCAGCGGTTACAACACAAACTTCCACCATCAGCACCCAACCTATTGATCCACCATCTACTGTAGACAACGTTTATACAGTAGCTACGAGCCACCCGGTACTTACTTACCCGAGGAAACTGTCTCCTTCTGCAGGGTCTTCATTAATAGTCCACTCGTCGTCTAACTCCCTCAATATGACGGAAATCCGGGAAGAATTTTGTCTGCTACGCGATACTTTTGCCATGGCATTTTTTATCATAGAGAAAGGAGAATTGCCGTTTTTATTACTCTTAAAATTGTCAACACCTATCCAGTCTGTGGTGGAGCTACGGCCGTACAGCTTGTCATTGTCATTGTCGTCTTGGCCAATAGTGTTAAGAGACTGGTAGGACCGAGACAAACCCGCACGGATTGAACGAATTGATGCCATTAGGTCGGCAAATTAACCCGAGTTGCCACGACCTGGTGAAACTTCAGCAAAGGAACTTTTAAATAACACTTCCAGAGTTCATAAACTCACCACTATGCTTTCAATTTCTAACTTTTCTTACATATAGTTAATAATCTAGCGCTTTTCTGATCAATTATAACATATAATCAACCGAAACACCATTCATCTGCGGCTTAAGGTTCATCAAATGACATCACTGCACGGAGCCCACGCAACCTCCTTGCTTGATGCCCTGATATGAACTTTTTCACAACTCATAAGCCACGTAAGTTTTCTAAACACTGCACTTGATTCAGATACACACACAAGCCACAGGAGAACTGATCCACACGCTGGTAACAGTTAACAAAGGTGAGAACGATCCCTGTTAACCCGTCACTGTGCATGTGGTGCCCGCTCATCCAGCCACTGACTACGAGACCAAACTTCCCACCTTGCTGCTCTAACCTGCCGCACCACCACCACACAACACACCTGAACACACACACACGCACAAACATCCACGTGCGGGGAGCTACCTCATACACACACACGAGCATACGAACACACACACGACATTGCCTCCTGTGTCCCTCGACCCCACGAGCTTACACAAGGCAACACCTCCTTATTTCAACAATTTTCACCACATCCCTTCAAAATAAATGGGTTTTTATTTCACTTACCTTTTCTTAAGGAGCTTCTGTTTATAAAATCACTATAAAATCTTTAAAAACTTGGTTAAAACCGATTAAAAACGAGCAGACACCAAATCTGTGTGTGAATATTTCCCGTCGTAGTGTACAAATAACAGCTGATGGCTGAGACACCGTCCGCCATCTGTTGGCCCAAAGTGAAAAGGTCACCTGTTAGAGAACGGTCGGTTTAGTTTTCTGTTATTTCATGGAAAGTAAAACTTTTGAAAAATTATATGTGAAATAGATAATTTAATAATGAGATAATGATTATGAAACGCAATCATTACACCAGTGAAATACTTGACGAATTATCAATAGAATTTCATAATCAATAATATCATATACACCCAAATTTACTATTCCAAATATTAGAACAATTCTAATTTGAATTTACTTGAATATTAGTCCCTCAGGTTATTCCACCTGATGATTAACGCCTAACGCTGCCACCAGGTAGGGCTAGATTAGGTTTGATTAACGTTAAGTTAGGTAAGAGTAGCCTTAGGTTAGATCAGGCTAGGTTAACTCGGGTTAGATTAAATAGATTTAGATTACGTTGATATAAGCTTAGCTTAGGTTAGCGTTACCTTTGGATAAATTTGGTTAGATTAGCGTTAGAGTGGTAATAAGGTGATCCGCCATCTTCCGCGAGAATCTCTGTTGCCAGTTTGCAGCGAGAGAGCTTGGGTAAGTGAACTCTCCTCATCATCACTATACCGGTTTATACTGTAAGCCGGGGTCATTCGGGGGTCAAATGTGACGTTATTCTGATTTTGGAGTTTCTTGTATGGCCCAGAGACGCTAATTGTATATGTGAACCCCCAAATCACCAGTGTCATGTCGATTTCATGGGAATCTTTAAAATTCCTGGACTGGGGAGGTATATACATATCTCATTAGTTTAGGTAAATTTTCATGGTTTAGCGTCTGCAAGATATATACAACGGCTCCAAAATCAGTATCTTACAGCATTAATCCCACAATGAACCCTTAATGTGTTCACTTTTGAAGTTAAAATGTGAACTTGTGAGACAAATTTCCTGATATGGCTGATGTTTTACCAAAGTTACCTAATGACGAACTAAACTATTTCTAGATATATCTAATTGATGGAACCATATACCAAATAATGTATCAGTAACAGTAGGTAAACTATTTATATGATGATTTAGTTATTATGTGTGTTTAATGATAGTAGTTGTTATAACTGTTGTTTTGTTGTTACTGTAGAGTAAATGGTTACAGTTGTTGTTGGTCTCGTTTTTGGAATAATTCAAGATTTAATTGAGTTATATATTTAGTAAAGTCGTCTTACGAGTTTACATTGATATTTAATCTAGGTATTATTATCGTTTCAGTCATCCGGGGATTCTTAGGACTTTAGGTTGAGATAAATCATACAGTTTCTGGGTTCTGTGGTTAGGTTAAGTTAGGTTGGCTAGATTAAGTTTGGTTGGTTAGGTTAGGTAAGATAAGATCAAAATAATTCAAAAACCGTCGGAAAAACATTGGGATGACCGAAACGATAATTTTACCTGAATATATATAAATTTATAGTTTCAGTCATATCAGTGTTACAGTTAGTACTAAATGTAAGTTAAGGGGGGACGTTTAGCAACTTAACATTTTGGCTGAACTTGGGTAAAAAAAGAAAGATTCATACTTATATATGGACATTTTTGTGGACATTTTTGTGTAGGAAATTCATAAATATTTTGTGCTATTACAGTGTACTTGGTATGTGAATCATGTGGTGAGGTAATGGAGTGATGACTGAATATATTAAAGAAATACACAGCACTTCAGTGATATATAAAGACAAATAAATATGTTACTAACCTGTGTCTCATTTTAGCAGGAATGAATCATTGAGTTGCTACACCATAACTAGTTTGTTTCACCTCACGTCAGATGTACGTAGTTCATTGATGGTTGTCTCTTTAATTGAAAAAAAATAAATAAATAAAATAATGATGCTGTGACATACTTGTTCCTTGTTGCTTCTTGCAATAAAACAAAAATTTTGATAATACTTTACAATGGTTACAGCTTTAACCATGAATAGGGTGAAAAAAATTTTTAACTGCCTCGAACACTTTACTACTGCATCCTCAACAGTGTACAGTATCCCAAATCTTAGCAGTACCTTACTTTATAACCTACTGAGCCAAAGTTTGGGAGGTAAATTAGGTTAGATATGTTCATTTATGTCTGATAAATTATATGAGGATAATGTAACAGTGACTGGTAAGTTATAGTGGGTAGCCGCACTTATGTTTGGGATGGAAAGTCGTAAAATGATATGCAAGGCTTATTCCTCCCCCTTTCTTTTTCTTCTTTACATGAATTTGTAAAACATTTATCTAAAATATTTAAAAAATTCCAAGTTGCTAGTTATGATGTGCAACTTATTAACTATTAGTACTGTATTACTAAATATGGTGAAATCTTATCTAGTTTGAAAAATTCATATCCTTAAAAACAAAACAGATATACAGTATTGTCTTCTAATTTTTAAGAATAATAATACTTTAGATCTCTTGGTAATACAAATTTCAAGGTAAAGAAGATAGCAATGGAGGAATTCTGTCGTGAAAATTTAGAAAGGTTTGAAAAAATTAAAATGGAGAAGGGATTTAGGAGGTTAGAATTGATGTATATTTGATCCTTGATTGATGACAGGAATATCACAATAATCTACCAAAATTAAAAGCACCTACTGTATGCCTTATTAGGTTACCCATATACAGTATATGATACTAAATAAAATAGGACATCAGCATGCTACTTTTAAATAGCAACTGTGTGACTATGACAATAAGCCATCCAACCAAACCTAACCCTACAATCTTAAAATACAGTTAAGTTAGGTAGTATAGGTTGGGTTTGATAGGTTTGTTTTCTCCGTTCAATTCTTGTTATGTTGGAAAAAAACACTAGTGATTATAAATGGAAGTTATCCCAAAATCCCATTCCATAATAAAGTATGTAGTGGATGACTCACTGCCAAGAACATGATACACGACGAGTTCTGTGGAAGTGCTCGAGTCGGGTAGTGAGGTGGTGCACACACACACACACACACTATGTAACAACAGTGGCTAAATGGGCCATCTGTTTTTAATAATAATGGCTGTTTCTTTAGAGGACTCATTATGGCTTTGGTAGTACTGTTGAGTACAGGTACTCCTCGACTTACGACCGCTGCAGTCATATAAAATATTTTTCAAATTACATATTTTCGAGTCCCGACGTTAGTGATCGCGCTGTGTACTGACAAAATTTTCGTTTGTAATTCCCTTTAAAATGGCTGGCAAGCGTAAAAGTGAGAGTTCTCGTGTATTCTATGTATTATTTTCAATTTACGGCCTGGTCATCGGTCCCTAACCCCGTTGGAAGTTGAGGACTGACTGTAGTTGGTCATAGATGTTGTTTAGAAGGTATCAGCCACTGCACATTATTGTCTGTTAATGTTGATTCATTCTCCCCAGGCTGGTATCATGGGAGGCCCAACTCGTCAACAAGTTCTCCAGCTGTATCGAGCGTTACTCACTTACGGCAGGACCTTGGAACTCACCGATCAAGATTACTTCTACAGACACATAAGAAAAGAATTCCAACGAAACAAAAGTCTCGTCTCGCCTAAACAACGGGAATTCTACTTTGATAAGGGTTTGAGTTTTTTGTCAAAGCAACGACTAATTTAGCTTTCTTTTTTCCAGCCGTCAGTTATATTTCATACATAATTTCAATTTTCTACAGTATTTCACCCTCTGTTTTATGGTAGCAGTATAGATGTATATAATTGGTAGTGGCACAGTTTAGGATTTTGAGAGCAAGTCCATAATTTATCACACAAGTTACAGGTTATTACATAGATTACTTCTTTTCACATCATAAGTACTGTATACACTTGCTGTTGGGGGGATGTTCTTCACTTTTATACATCCATTCCACCACAATAAATTTCAGTAACGTCATTTAAATTTTGTTGCATAAAATAGCTTGGAAAGTTACAGGTCTCAGTACACATGTAATTTATCAGTTGTACCAAAGAGAATGAAGCCACAGTCACAGAAAGGATGAGGAGTAACAGTCTTAAAGGGAAAAATTAAACTTATAAATTGTTATCCAATATCCATCAAGACAGGGCAGAGTGTGTTATCCCACCTCAGTGTTATATATAGCTGCCACATTCAGAACTTGTGCGAAGGGTTGATACAGAGGATACACTGAGGTGTTTGCATAATATTTGGAAATGTTTCATGAGTCATCCTCTCATTGTCTTTAATAATGTACAGTATTAGAATTCAAGGACTGTAATATTGTAATAAATGCAATGTATATATTTTCTTGTAATAAATGTCCAGTATATTTATGACTACTAATAATATAGATTTGTTTTGCTTCTGTTTAACTTTTATTTGACTGGTAACTAAATACCAAACATACAGTCACTGATTTATGAAAGGGTTCTGCTCCCCCAAGAAACTTTTGTAAATCAATATCTCATAAATTGGATCACATTTTCCAATAGACCTCTATCATGAAAACTGAGATGCTACTATAAAAAAAGGCCTTAAAATGGATAACCTAGAACCCAAGGAAGCAGAAAATCCTTAAAACCAGATCAATCTTAGTGCCAAGGTTTGAGGGTCAGCTACCCTACCACTTTCAGTACTATAAAGTATTCACAAAAATTTATCTAAAGTTCAATAGATTCACTAGTCA